GCTTGTTATGTTAAGCACCCCACTGAGATGGACTTTCATATTACTCCTCCTTTCATGATTTGCGAAGTGATAGCTTTTGCCTGGGGTGATAATGTGAGTAGCACTCTGAAATATTCAACAAGGTATTATGTGCCTGGTTGAGGTAATTCTGCAGCCAGATAGGCTTAAAGAGATTGGATTGTTCAAGCAATGAGCTTGGAGAAAGATTCCAGTAGTAAGGCCGCATGTGGAGCAAGCGACAGTGAGGGGAAAAGCTCTGCCTCTCCGCTTAACTGTCCACATACACACTAATGTGGGGCCGCCTTTCCAGACTCAGCATGTCGGGCCAATGGAGGGCTGTTTTACTGGACCGAAGTCTATTGTGAACCTAATCTCTAGAAGCGCTGACAAGCTTTGTGTTCTGTATTATCTTTAGCTGTCCGGGATCCAACCAAAGCATGAAATCTGGCGCTCTTTCCATCTACATATCCAGTTAGATCAACAATCAGCTAGCAGCCGCGCATGTCAAGGCTTATCCACGCATGCCAAAACAAAACTGAATGAACCACATACATGAATTATAGCTCTCTAATTATTATTATTTTGTGCACAATATGAGTAAAAACTGACAGGACACCTTGAAATACTTTTCCATATCAACACTGTTATCTTCACATATTTTTGGAGAATAGGAATGCATATTTTTTTATATTGATAAAAAAAAGGAACAGCTACAACACTCCACACTGGAAAATCCCTTTTTTTCTACATGTGGTTTGTTCTCAAAGAAGAAAGTAGGGAGTAGAGATCTACTGCCTCTGGATAAAACCACGTAGATGTGGGATAGAAAGTTGCTGGGTTAATTTGATGGGGAAAAAAAATAAATTATGTGTCAAAGGATGCATAAAAGCCATTCTTTGGTTGATTGCCACTGCCACAATGAACTATTATTATCATCCCACACTGGCACAGTAGCTGAGGAAACTTCACAAGCAAAGAGGAAAAAAAAAATCAAAATCTGAACATCAATCACACTTTTGAAGACTCTACATCTAGTGAAAGTGTTTTAAACGTAACGTAAACACTAACAGTCAATCATAACTTTGACTTTGTAAACTAAAAATCATCAAATGTTATGAATACACCAATATTATACTAAATGTTAGTAAGGGAGTAAATACGACAAAAAATGCACACCGCTATTCAGTAAAAACTTTTCCTAAAGAGTGCTTGACTGAATTATACATAACGGATGCTGACCTTCTCTTGACTGGCTATGTGAAGACGTTCATACTTCAGCACTTTATTTGAATACAGGCATGCAGACATAAGGAAAAATAACCATTTTGGTTCCACATGGGCTACAAGGCAGCGAATGGAAACATTTTCCCCGTCTTAAAATGGAGTGTGATTGTGTGTGGGGCTGCTTTTTGATCGTAGTAGAAAAAAAGCAAATCTGACATGCAACATAGGGGTTAAGGATTACGCCTTGATGTTGGGCCAGAAATAAGGGGTGAAAAAAATACAAGGAGTAGAGGCTCGCCAAAGGGCACTAAACTATTCAGCTGTTGTCAGGATCCATTAAAAAAAGTCACCATGAAGACTGGCTCAAACAATGACACCAACACACAAACGATCCTTTGCGAGCCTGGCTGTGCTTCGTCTACTTCAGAGTCTGGTTTTTCCTAATGAAAAACAACCACGGAACAGATAGTTATGAAAATGCATTATAAATCCGCACTGCAAATAGTGATAAACAGTGGGAAGCATAACAAATGAAAATGACGCCTAACTCGCTGTAGGTTGGATCGGCTAAAACCTCTCTCGCTTTGCCTGAAGCAGTGTCACTGCTTAGAGCAAAGAAAAAAAACCTGCAACAAATAAACAAACAGAAGGAGACTGACTCTACAAACCAAAATCATACTGTTGTTTCAAATCTACAGTAAACCTCCTTCAATGGTTGTCAGCTGTGTGGCAGTGTGTGACTAGTGCAGTAATGTGAACCACGAGGGGAGTAACCTAGAGAGCCCTCCTTTATGTGTGTGTGTTTGTCTTTGAGAGTGAAAGTGTGTGTTATTAGTTGCCATATGCATTTCCACTGTTGAAATAAACTTGCACTATTGTCACATTGGTGATGCATGCAGATAACCTTTCTAAGCAGTGTGGCAAAAAACAAGAGACTTGAAGCATGGCTCCTAGCATCTTTGTATGAGACTTGACCTTTAGTGGATATCCATCATAACAAAATGAATGACTGCTTCTGCAGTCTTTTATCTTTCCCTGCGTTGGTTTTACCAAGACTTAAACAGACACAAGGGAACTACAATAACAACAACAAAAAAAACACAACAAAAAAACTACTCCCCTTGGAATGATTTTCAACGAACTTGGATTTTAGGGGCATTTAGTTCAAGTTATTAAGTATGCCAAAGACTGCGCGAAGGCCGTTATGTTGCTTGAGATAATCTTTACTCTTGGGAATTTCAACACAAATGTGAATGAAATGCACATGGTTGTAGGTTCCCTTTCCCCCTTAACCGCTTATCCAATTCAGGGTCATAGGGAGGCTGGAGCCTATCCCAGCTGTCATAGTGCTAAAGGCAAGATAGACGCAACATGGTGACTTTTAAAGAAGAGCCAGTAAGAACCCAATGACAATGGACAAGGAATCAGCAAAGATATGTGATATTTTATCAATACAAGAACACCAAATATCAGTATTTTACTAAATAAATTATAGTACTCTGGGAATACCATGAACAAGAGCACTCATCTCACGCACCACTAATGTTAATGTTAGCCGAGGAAACTTAGCTCAACTGTAAATCCAACACTGGACACACTCTGCTTTGGTGATTTATCATATTTAATTGTTGTATCAGAAACAGACTGCATTTATGTGAGAACTAGGCTCCATTCAATCACAGATGGCAACATTTATGGCAGATAAAGTGACAGTATTGTTTATGCTTTACAGTTTCATTTTGCACCATAATAGCTTAAGTGAGATAACTTTATCTTACTGGATAAAACAGATGCAGATGCTGACAAAGCTTAATTTTAAGGACATAATTTGCAGTTGGAAAAAATGACCTTGTATCATGAGTGAAGTATTGTGATAATATCATATCATGGGGAGCCAGGTGAGTCCCACCTCTACTAATTCAGCACACTATTGCAGGGAGTTTCCTTGCAGGATCCAACGCATTGTTTAAAAAAAAAAAAAAGTAACATAAAGACTTGTTTATCAAAAAAGTTGGGTTACTACGTAAAATGTCTTTGTATCAACCTTTGATATGTTGTTGCTGGGCTATTTTCATTCAAAGAAAGTGAAGATTTAGGTAATAATAAATATTTGCATTCTATTATTTCTATACTTTTACACAGCCAACCTAATTTTTTGCTAGGGTGGTTCCTACTTCTGCACTAATAAAAATAACATTAAAGTTGCCCAGCAAAACGAACAGTCAGCAAAGACGAAGACAATTAAAAAGAAAAAGGTCATTGCCCTGGAAGAAGCTAAATGCTGTGAAATAAGTAACGTATTCACACAAGAGGCCAATATCATACTCACTTGTCAACACACATACATACCACAACAGACACAACATACGGGTATTTGTTGTTACAATATTTAATGGTCCACTCACAGTGAATGAGCAGTTGGTGACCTTGCTGCAGAATTGCATTGTGAAGTTGTTGCTTTGGTTTGCTTGTGGTGAGGTTTCTGGAGCAATAGCGCAGGTGTCCACCATCAAATTACATTCATTCATGGCTTCGGCACAAATCGAATTCTGCTATTAAAATCTAAGATGGTTCGTGGTGCAGCTGATATCAAAGTGAGGGAAAAGTCGATTACTGTGGGAAGGAATCTAACAGTTTAGATGAACAAAGGCATTATCTAAGGTAACTGTCAATTTTAGTGCATTTGGCTTGACTTGTGAGTGACTGGCTATTAGTAAAGATAATCATGTCAACATTTAGCTAACCCTACATTTTGCTTCTGAATTGATGTCCCCAGGCAAAACATTCAGGTTGCCTGCCATGTGAGAAAACTGCTCTGGTAAGTTTTAAGTCTACATAGCCATAGCCAGTGATGGTGCTAATGAATTGCAACTACTCCCGCAAGTCATCTGTGGGGGTACTTGTCCATCCATTTTAACCACTTGTGCAATTCAGAGTTGGGGGGAGAGCTGGAGCCGATGCCAGCTGTCATAGGTTGAGAAGTGGGGTAGACCACGTACAGGTCACCAGTCCATCACAGGGCTAACACAGAGAGACAGACAATTTAGAAACTGCCATTAACCTAATGTCCATGTTTTGGACTGTGCACGCAGGTACTTTCAAAAGCAAGCTATGAAAATTAAGAACAATTAAAAATAGAATATATATATAAATATAAAAGTAAATGTGTTTTTCTTTTTTCCCCTTTACTATTCATCTGCTTCACAGACTCTCTAAAATCCTCATCATTTCTTAGTGCAGCCACTCATTGCTGTTTCACATTAGAATCACTCATTTCTCTTTTCACTAATGTGCAGCACATCCCAGCTTGAGTATTTCGACCTTGGCAAAGTTGGCACAAAAGCTTCATTTTAAAGATTCTGGGAATCCAGAGTTTTCCCGCCTTCAACTCTAAAACCCTTTGTCTGCTTACATTTACACCTACACGGTTTCACCCCCACCTCTGTGGGTCTGCACTCACTGGTTTCCCTCTCCTTTTTTCATTTTGTGTACAAAGACAGAAAGACAAACAAGCAAACACACGTAGCTTATATATTCTCATGCACTTCTTAAGTGTTTATACTTGATGCTTGTGTCTGTTATGCTTGTATAGTATTGGCTACAAATTTCCTTTTTAATAACAAAGTAATCACTTCATGATGTGATTTCTTTGGAAATAGAAACATAGAGCTTATATATTTGATTCTGCCAATTTTTTATTTTTTTTTATCTTAATTATAAATTATATCCCGAGTCATTTGTTTGACTGACGTGATTTTATGAGACTGTGAATATGGTGGTTTTCCCCTATGAATTAATGCTACTGATAAAGAAGACAAATATAAGCCGTTAAAAACTAATACAAAGAGTTGCTTTTGACAAGAACACTTTAAAGTGTTTTTGTAACACCTAAAGATACACTTTGCAGTAGAGGCACATTTGTAACAGTACCTGAGTATTCCTTCTACCACTGCCCATATGATACCCTAAAGAGCAAGCACTCAGTTTGTAACCAGTAAAAAGCCTTCAAAGACAGCAGTTTGGTGAGGATCGCATGAACAAGGTGGCCTGGGAATGAATCAAATCCCCGGTCTGAATTACTGTTTCAGACTACCCCTGCCACAAAGATAGGTTGTTCTTGCACGGCGCAAAACGATGACAACGTAGAGTCACGGTTACCGTTAAAAAAGAAACTACCCTCGTTAAAATGCAAAATAGAAGTCATTAAATATGGCGTAGCTTGAACGTAGCTAGTTCAACCTGAGGGTAAAAGGTACGCCAATCTAATAGGAGCAGAGTTTGGATCTCCGCCCCTGGGCGACCTCGCATTCCAAAGATTCCCACACTCTAAGCTCACCTGCCTTTTCCTGCACTACTTAGCAACACGTTTTCAAGGGCATTGCCACACTAAAGTGAGTTTTTCTACAAGAGGAAAACTAACCCCGGAGCAGTTTCCGTGCATTTACATTAGCCGGCCAAGTTTTCACCCCAACGGTTAGGCATGGCATCAAAAACAGCGCGTGAAGGTCCCTCAAAGGTGTGCGTTGTTTGCGATGATTTGGTCACAAGAAACAGATTAGGGTAGTATTAGATTCTTCCCCACTGAGAGGAAGCCAAAAGAAGCTTGTCTTATGCCGCATGCACAGACTGAAAAAAAAAGCAACCACTCTCTTTTCACTTTCCGACTTCAAGAAAGCAGCCCATACCCTCCTGCCTGCTCTGCGCACAGATGCTTTCATTTCTCCCTGCGTTTTCGCTCCAATTATTTAGCAGTTTGCAAAGAAAAGAAAAGAGAAACATTTCCATACCTTGGGAGGATTGTAGTTGCGCTGGCTGAGCTGCGGCTTGGATCTACATTGGAACGTGTAACTTCATCTGTAAAGTCCTGCCTTTTAGTCCCATGCATGTGGAAGAATGAAACTCGCGTCCACACTCGAGTGAAGAAGACGACCCCTCGGCTGCTCCTCGCCTCCAACAGCAGTCCCAGGCAATGCGAGCGTGCATGACGTCAGCGGGAATGTGGGAAACCGATGTGCACTCCTGATTGGTTGCAAAGCGAATACGGGGGCGTTCCCGAAGAGGTACGCGTTGTTAAATTAACCAATGACTGAGAAGATGATAGTTACCTTGGTTACCTGTTTTGTCAACCCATACACTATAGAAGGGAGAGAACAAGGTAAGCTAGGTGGCTCGTCGGGTATATATACTTAGTTTACAACGCAAATAATCGCTAATTGTTGTGTGTAACTTTATTGTAGGTGTAGTTTGAGCTTGGTCTTGTAGGAAACCTTTGGTTCACTTGTTTTTTTTTAAGGGGTTTTTTTTAAGGTTGAGCATAAGTTCTACCTAAGTACTGTCGCTAAACTATAGCAGTAGCAGCTATGACAATGATAAAGTTAAGCGTTTTCTAGTTTAATTAAGTAATATAATAATTGGTAAAAGTCGGTAAAGTAAATTAACAGAGCTTGGCTTGGAAAATATTTAGGCTAGTTGTATGTCCATAGTTTTAACAGCAAAAAACAAACAAACAAAACAACCTAATGATTTTTTTTTAAAATATTTATTTTGTACATTTAGCCCATGTGCCACCTTTTCGTCACTGGTGTTATCTTACTCATTATGCAAATTTGGGGGGCTTCAATTAATTATTATTTAGAATAATGCAATGATAATGCAAAAATCATAAGATAATATTTTATTATTTCAAAGCGTTTGTTCAAAGCGTCAATGTATGATATTTGCAAAGCCATTTATTAGCAATAAAATCAAATGAAAGCATATAAAGAACACCTAAAACGAGTGACAATGCCATTCTTTATATCTTAACCTGTACCAAATTTCAGTGGATGTAAAATTATTATCTCAAGGGTCTAATGTTACCCATAAGGAAGGTAACAGCAGTGACAGTTTTCATGGAAAATGCTTTTTACAAAATAGATGCTGCAAGCATCAAACCACATGATGTCAGTCATCTTATACTAACCAAATTATGTCATTTAATCTTTTTATATTCTGTTGTTTTGTTTTTGTTTTTGTTTAACAATTTCCTAACTGTGTCGTATTAGTGACTTCAACTAAAAGCTTCTTATGAAATTACAAGATAAAACAGAAAAAAAATCTGATAAATGAAAAGAGACACTGGTCTCATCATGACCATTTCTTTATAGTGCTTCAGGAAATCTGTGATAGTAAGTCAAGTGATGTCATTATTGGGATGTTTTGTTTCAAAATAATAAACGTTTCTCATAACACCAGTGACACAGTTTTAAGGGACCATGACTGTCTTTATATATCTTACAATATTTATTTCACATTTTGCTTCATTTTGTCACAGTCATCATATTTTTAACATATCTGATTGATTTGATGCAAAAACTTATATGCAAAACATATAACAAAAAAACACAGCCTTTACCCACCATACTCCACTGTGGGGACAAACGCTGTGGTGGTGCCTGTTCTTCTATATAATTTAATTAAAAAAACAGATATTGTGAATTTAATGGATGAGGAAGGAAAAAATATTCAAATTTAACATGGAAATAAATTGTAAATAAAGTGGTTTTTAAGTGTAGTAAAAGCCAGGGACAGAAAAATTGACATTTCTAGAATGACCTATGTCTTGAATCCTAACCTTGGCTTGCCATTTGGTGTTGAAATGGAAAAAATAATAATTTTGCTGTCCTTAAAATCGGTATTTAAGTCTATATGTAATGGAGACATGGGCAAAAAATAGAAAAGGATTCAGAACAGCGCATCTGTTTTCCCTCCAATCATAGAAAAATTAATTCCTGCATAGTTCATCCCATCTCTTCACACACCATGCATTTGAAAGGAGATGAATCCTGTGCGAAAATATTTCCAAGCTTAATCCAAAACAAAGGCAAAAAAACCCCAAAAAAAAAAAAACCCATTCCAGCAGTATATCACACACACACTGGCTGCAGTACACTAAAACTTGTTGATGTTAACTAGCATTTTAAACAATGTCACACCAAACTTTTTTTTTGTAGGCAACAAAGCTGTGCATGTGTTTGCAGCACAATAATTAATGTATTTATTTTGAAGGTACTCTGGTGCATGAAGATAAAGCTCCACAGTGATGAGTGGAAAGGATCTACAAACATTCATAACGAGCATTAAAACGGAAGATGTTGGTAAGTGAGTGAAAAATGGCTGGAATATTCTGGCTTCTGACATAGTGGTCTACTGAACTGTTGAACCGGTTTGACCTGAAGCCCTCATGTCGAATTCTCCAGGTGCCTTTCAAGTCTGTTGTTTTTGTCACAGGCACAGCTTGTGTTTATCCACCTGCTTCCTTGAGTCAAGCCGAAGCACTGAAAAAAAACGTCTGACACAGTTTGTCTCTGCTATCCCCCTCCTCCTGTGCAATCATTTCTTTATTACACATACAATCCATTAGAGCTTAACTGGTGCTGCTCCTCTGTCTAACCTTTTTTTTGCTGAAGTCAGCATAAAGTTTTTACTTCAGACATTAAAAGTGATGAGATTTTCAAGAATTCCAGTGATCCTAATTCATCCATATCATCTGTTTTCATCCATGCAGAAAAACTGACAGTGCGAATGAAAAATGGTCTTGGCAGCTCAAAGTACAAGCCGGCAGAATATAAAAGACTACTAGCGATTGTTGATGCCAAACGCCAGGAGACTGATCTAATTGGACAAAAGGTAACCTTTTCTTAGCACTATCATCCTTGTGCTAATAAAAAAAGCTGTGTTTTCCTAAAATAAAGTCCTGTTGCATTTAATAACACGTTGATTCAGCAGCAAATAAAGGAGTATGTGGAATAAAACCACTCATTATACATCAAAGGAAGTGTTAACTAAAGGAAGTGTTGTCCTCAGTAGTAGTAAAAAGTGCAATATCTGTGTGCGTGCGTGTGTGTGTTTACCTTTTCCCACTCTTTCATATATGCCACACGCTGTAAAAGGATTTCATTTAGCATAAAATAGACATTGCATAATTCTTGTAGTTTGTCCAACAACATGAAAGAGAGCAGTAATATCACTGCCATACAGAATGGCATTTCTGTGAATATTCATTTGGCTTCCTGTGGTTTTTCCCACCACACTGTTTGAAGTTCATAGTCACATGATTATGAGCTGATCAAAAAGTTAATGCTAGGGGCACTGGAGATTAGGCTGTTAGACCTGTGTTGTTTTAATTAGTAAATTGTGTCAGAAGCCTTCTAGCATCATCGTGATAGCCCATGGCTTCTTCAACCCTGTGCTCTGGATAACTTAGATAAGAGAGGCTATGTTCATATTGGCCCTCCTGAAAAAGCAGGCTTTTTGAACATCTCATATTGGTGATGTGATAGGGGTAAATAAATTACCATGAGTAGCCTCAAGCATGGGATCATTTTTGCTTTCTATAAATGGACTGGCAGCATTAGTAGACAGTAAACACTTGGCAGCTCTATACTACACTCTGTGCACTGTGTTACCCAATATACAGATATGTGTGTATGTAAACACTAAAAAAAGGAGTGGGAAACATATTTTTTTCAGTACTGTTTTGATTACAGGTAGACATCCAACAAATGGGCATAATATTGCTACATTTTCCCTACTGATTCACCTATATTAATGTTTACGTGTTATTGCTGAAACACATTATATTATAAGAAAATGCATAACTGACAGATTCCATGTCTCCAATATTGCGGGAGAATCCCCTTTGTGTGATTGCAAAGTTATTGATCCTTTACTCAGGTATGACATTTCATTGATGATTTGTATTTCAAAATGTATTAAAAGGAGCAATAAAGAATGAAAAATGCATAAGGAAAGGGTATATCAGAGGGACTGCTCAGGATGGAGCTGATTTGGAGACAAAGTAAAAGGGGCAAGGTTGAGATGGTTTGGCCATGGGTAGAAGAGTGATAGTGCATGTATTAGGAAAAAGCAAAGGTTAATGGATGTAGTGAGAAAGGACACGCAGATAATTGGTGTGATGCAGAGGATAGGGTGGCAACACCTGAAGGGAGAAGTTGAAAAAAGAATGAGACATGGCTTATAACAATACCTGTGGTTTAAGTTTAAATCCTTCAAACTGAAAAAGATGACTTTTTACTCATTGTGTATGAAAGGAAATTAAATGTCCTCATACAACTATTTTTACATTGTTCATGTGGATGTCTACGAGCTGAATATACAAACCCTATTATAGAGAATTTAAGACACTGTGTAAAATATAAATAAAAACAGAATGGAATGATTTATAAATCACATAAAACAGAATAATAACAGAAGATAGAAAATATGACATTTTAGTATTTCATGAAAAATATTAGGTTACTTGGCAACAGGTCAGTAACAGGTCAGAGAGGATAAAAAGAGATCTTAGAGAGTCAAAGTTTCTCAGAAGTAAAGATGGGTTGAAGTTCACCAATCTGGGAAAAAAAGTTGTGTCTACTAATTGTGGAAGAATTCCATAAAATGTAAACAGCTTGTCATCTACAGTACATAGTATTACCGAAAGATTCAAGGAACAAATCTCTGTACACAAGTGACTAGGTTGAAGATTAATACTGGATGCCTGTGACGTGCATCGCTGCATTAAAAACAGCCATGATTCTACCATGGAAGTCTCTGCATGGACAAAGGAATAGAAATCACTGCCTGTGAATGCAGTTCAGCATGTCATCCACAAAGGCACGTTAAAACTCTGTGATGCAAAGAACAAGCCATGTGTAACATGATTCAGACAGGGCAGTGTCTTCTCTGGCCTAAAGCTTATTTGAAATGGACTGAATCAAGTGTTAAACTGCTCTGTGGTCAGACAAATCTAAATATGAAATGCTTTTCAAAAACATCCTTCATCCTCTGGACTAAAGAGAGGGATCATCCAGCTTGTTATCAGCTCTCAGTTCCTGATGATATGGGGCACATCAATCCAACATCTATTACAAGAGCATTACTTCGTAGCAGAAGAGTCAGGGTGCTGAACAGGCCTGTCTGCAGTCCAGAACTTTCACCCATTAAAATCATTTGGCACATCATTAAATGAAAAATATGACAAAGCAGATATAGAACTGTTGAGCAGCAAGAATCCTACGTCAGACAAGAATGGAACAACATTCCTCTCCCAGAAGTCCAGCAGCTGGTCTCCTCAGATGTTTACAGACTGTTGTTACACAAAGAGGAGATCACTAAACATGGCTCTGGCCCAACTTTTTTAGAAATGTGTTGCTGCTTTCAAATTGAAAATGGCCTCATTTTTTTCTTGAAGTAGTGCAACTTTTCATTGCACATGAAGAACTACTGCATGCTTATTTCACAGAAAGTAGAGAAAGAATGAACCAGAGTTTGAAGAAAATCGTCTTTTATGTTATTAGTAACATAAAATCTTTTTTCTTTTATGACAAGTCAAGGAGCCTATTGTTGAAAGGTCTATGGAAACGTGAGAAATGTATGAAGGGTGAGCCATGGATTTACACAGAATATTCTAGGTCAAGTACAGAGTTGATTTTCCGATGGTATTATGGTCTTCTGACTTGCAAATAACCATTTTCAATTTTTTTATCCAGGTATTTCGTATGGGTCTTGCAAGGTGGGATGTAATCCAGGCAGACCTTTGAATATTTTATACATTTTTTTACATTTTCCGTCTGGAAGCCAGGAAGTGTTATGTCAGCGATTTTTAAAATGCCATACATTTTGTTTAACAGAGGCATAAAAATAAGATTGGTATGGGTTAAGAATTAAATGGAAGGAAATGTTGTTAAATGCATGAAAATGTATAATGTGGTGTGAGAAAAACTTTAAATATGAGAATTAAAGACCTCAATTTTCCTTTGGTTAGGTTTAAGCAAACAATAATGTTCACTAAAATGTTTTAAGTGCCTTTACCTAAAAACTGATTGGGAAGCTAACCAATTTAATGGCTATTATAATGCTAATAAGAGTAGATATTAATGGATTAGTTTTATTTGGCAGAGTGAGACTACAAATGAGGTGATATAAGTTTTGCTCCAGGCACAGTTTTTGCAGTCCAAATGAGTTATTAGACAGCCAGTGCAAATTAAAATTACCTATAATACACTGCCTGGAAGAGGCATGGAATATCAGCAGTTTGGCCTTTTTTATTTCAGTGCTGCACTAAAATCCAACTGAGCACTGTAGATTGACTTACTATAAAATGAGCATTAGCAAAACATATCCAAAAACAGCAATCCCCTCTGAACACATAGACACAGCATTTGAATGTATACCCAAATCATTTTATTCACTGCTCATCTGGAAATTACTTGCAACCATGTTTTGGTTTTGTGAGATTATATTTTGTAGAGTCGTCTGAGCCACTGACCTGTGTGAAAAAAAACACTGATAAGACAATGCGTTGCTATGCTAAAGGTGCGCTAACGGAGTGCTTTAAAGAGGGTTTATGGGGGGGAACCCACAAGTGATGATAGATTAAGACTGCTACCTCCCCCGTTTCTCCTAATAACATGCCTAATGTGTATCATTTGTGTTTCATCAAATTTTTTCCAGTTTATTTTGTTTTTTTGCATTAATAGTGACACTGTTCCAGCTGAATTATGAGTCACTCAAAGATTTAATAATGCTAATAAAAACTGAAGCATGCCTTTAAAAGGATTAAATGCTTTCAACCATAAGAATACTGCGTATTTCACATTCTTTGCAACATTATGATGTATGTATAAACTATATGCACAATATGCTTTGTGCTTCATTCAAAATGGTCTAGACATTTGATGCGTTAAAGCACTGCGCATAGAGATCTCTCCGGATGAAGTTAATTGTAGGCGGAAATAAATGTTCCTAGTTAAAGTGCATTTAAAAGCAAGCACTCCAGCCAAATGCATGTTGTGCTTCCAGGAAAACTGTTTATTCCTGCTTTGCATTTAACTGCCTTGTGAACCATCTTATAGGTTCACAAGACTCGCTGTGCAGCCAAGGCAACCAAGGAGAGCTCCATATTACGGCAGCACAGACAGGTGTGGAGCACAGAGTGCCTCAGGCTGCAAAAGGCTGAGTAAGAGCCCCCTATTACTCCCTGTCATTATCTGCTGCAGTTTTCTGAATCTGCTATTACACCATGCAACCATTCCACTTAAGCCCCATTATGCCTAGCCAGGAACATGCATGAAAAAATAAATAAATGAATAAACTGGACACACAAAAAAGACGAAACAAAAAATGTGTCCGAGAAAAAATGAAGAAAGGATATTTAAGCTGATTTTCTGACTCCATGACATTGAATTAACAGAGAGAAGTGGGTGGTTATAGCCATGCAGAGACAGAGGGGTATACTAAATGGAGGAAAAGTGTTCCTCTGTGGGTTGAGGCAGAAGTGTGGGACTGGGGGCCCCAGCAGTGTCATGTCTTGTGAAGTGAGAAGGGCAGCACTAGCTCTGGGGTGCAGCTTGTTTGGCTGCATAATGACTATGTCTGAGCCACCCAAGGTTAATGATGTACACAAGCGTTATCCTCAGTAATGAGCCTAGTCATAAGGATGTGCCACTGCTTGCATCTCTCTCCACACATATCTAGTTAAAGTACCTTGGGATTCAAACAAGCAAACAGGAAAGTATATCTCTATGGTTACTTGTTCCTTTTTGCAACCATCTCAACCATGTTAGCAAGAAACAAATAATTATTGTAGCTCTCTCTGTGGGTCATTTCAGTATGAAGCTGCTCACAGCAACAAGACATCCTACCCCTAACTTTTGTCAAACTTTTGGAGAAAGTCCACCAGCGAAGTCTGTAATACTCTGTGTGTGTGTGTGAGATAGATGGAAAAAAGTTGTCACCTTCTTATGGCCATCTCTAAATGTGGAATTGTTGTAAGCCAAATGCAAAGAACATGCTTTTTTATTTTACTCATTTAAGGGTAAAATATATACTTTTTACACCGTTATGTATAATTAGCAGCTACCTTTCAGGTCATGGCCGCTTGTACAAATTCAGATCAATAAGTTGTCATATAGTTTTATAGATTAAGCTACAGAGCACTCCATAACGTTAGGAAGCTGAAATTAACTCCATGTTTATTAGGTACTGCATTACAGTGATGCTTGTATCAATAGATAAATAAATAAAGTCTCTTATTCTGAAACAGGCCATTTTGCATAATTATATCATTTATGCTTAGGTTTAAAATGAGTTCATTATTTGTCATTTAAATTAATGGATATGTTTGCATTTAATAGAATGCATTTGTTCTCTCCAACAGAGAGAAAGCTGAAAATGACATCCATTATTTTATAAAGCAGATCAGGCCAAACAATATAACGGACAGTGCCATCTTCTCTCTTCAAGAATATGGTAAACAACTACATTTTTTATGTGCATTTGTGTCACCATCACCTTGCTGTTTAAGCAGTGCACTGCTAATGTGTATACCTGTGTGTTTTCGGGTTTTAGAACTGTTTCTTGAGAGGGAAATTGAGGCATTCAGGATAAACTCTGTACAGCCTGTTTATCAGCTCAGGGATGACCTGGTCTTCAGACTGGGTGAAGTACAACATCAGCAGCTCTCTGCACATCCATCAAACTGGGAACAAGTGATACAACAGGTATTGTGAGATATGGAATAAGGGCTTAGTGATTTTGATAAAGACCAGCCATATATATATACATGTATAAAAGAGTGTTTTGCAACATATGTCCTTGATTGGGGGAAAAAGAAAAAAAGTGGCAGTATTTTTTCCTGTCTATGCACTTCAAGTCTTCAAAAGCAAATCTAATCGGCGGAAACTCTCTGCAGGTACCAGACCAAAATAGCCCATCCAGCTCCTCCGCAGAAGTTTACAATCTCTTACTTTCACACAGTGATCTTACCTTGTGCCCAGCAGTATATGCTGTCCATGAAGCTGTTGTTTGTTAGATATCTGTGGACCCTAAAGACATAAATTCTGTCTGTGACTCTGAGAGGCTTTTGCTGGGTCTAGAGATGAATCGTGAGATTAAGGAGTTAGCCGGGTCTCAGAGAGACCTTACTGGGAATGAAGTGTATCCCCCCCCTTTTCCTTTCTCTGCCTCACAATAAAAAAGAGAAGCTGAATGCTGTATAATTATGCTTTCATCCTGGAGTGAAAGTGAGGAGTTTAAAAACAACACTAAAATTGGCACAGAATTGGGTGGTACAAAAAGAAATAGAAAGGCACACAGTAGGCGACACTATGCTTGTGTACAACTTTTAAAAATGTTAATACTGCTTTTAGCATTTCTAGATGTGGTTTGAATAATAATAAAAGAGGAATAATAATTTGAAAATGAATATTAATAGGTTAAAGCTTAAACTATTTTCTCTTAACTTAAAAGAGATAACATAATGTTTTTGAACAAACTCAATTACAATTGTAATTGACTTTCAGTAAATAAACTTTATAATCGTCCACATATGCATTCATGCATCTATAAAACCATTTTACTACTGCTGTTTATGTGGGTGACGGGTGTAGTTATATTGTAAGACACATTCATTTTCATTCATTCCTTATCTTCATCCCTTACAAAAGCATAAGAGCCATCAGACAGTTAATCGGTTTTATTCATTGTATCTGTGTTTTTGTGCTGTTCTGGAACACTAAGATCTCTTCCTTTTTTGAACGTTTCTACTAATACTGCTACCTTGATATCAATAATGTACTGTATATTTTTACATCTTTGGGAGGGCTTTGCATTTTCAACATGCAATAGCCCATCTCAATTCATGGCACATTTGAGCATTCCTGTCCTCAAGTCATTTCCTGCATACCAAAAATTGGCTGATAAATGTTTAAAAAATATTTACAGTTATCTGGGTTTTGGTTTTTTTTTTTGTTTTTTTTAAAAAAAAATCTTATGCAATGTTATGAAAAACTTAGTTTACCCTGACTGCTTCCATAGGAATTAAGAGGGTAAGTAGCAGCCAGGTGTCATCGATAAAAGTGAGCACCTTTATAAATGCAGAAGTTTTGGCAGTTTGGTAGTCTGAAGCAGGTCTTGCTAACATGCTAACAGGTCTCTGTTAGCATGTTAAATATTAAAGTTCATGACAGTACAATTAGACTGAACAAGTATGTCCTGTTTGGAAGGCTGCCAGTGGAAAGCCTCTTCTTCTCTTCCAAAAAGAACTTGGCAGCAAACTTAGGTTTACACAGTTGCATTTGAACAAAACACAAGACTTGTAGAAGAGTGTACTTTAGACAGATGAGACCACAGCGGAGATATTTGGCAATAATGCACAGAGCCACATTTAGTGAAAACCAAACACAGCATTTCAGCGCATGGTTTGCAACTATGGGACCCTGGCACCTTGCAGTCACTGGGTTGAAGATAAAATCCTTTGCATACCAAAGTATACTAGAGTCAAATGTAAGGCATCTAAAGCTTGGCTGAAATTTGGTCATGGAACAAAACAATAATCCCAGGCACAGCAGCAAATGTCCAACAGAATGGCTGAGAAAGAAAAGAGTCAAGGCGCTGCAGTGGCCCACGCAGTCAAATTGCAGTCCAGTTCTCAACCCCACTGAAATGCTGTGGCATGACAAATGACTGCAAACCTCAAGGAACTGAATCAACATTGTAAAAAAGAGTGAGCCAGAATTCCTTCACAATGACACGAGAGACCGACGCAGTCATACAGAAAAGGATTACTTTAATTTACCGATACTTCAGATTGTTGCTGCTAAAGGTGGTTCTACGAGCTATTGAATCCTGGTGTTTAGTTCGTTTTTTATAGGAGTCATGTATAAACTCTCTTTTCACAAAACATTTGTCAGTATTCAGAGCATGGGTAGCTCTTTGAATTTGATGTCTATTTCCTTCTCCTTTTCAAATGCCTTATTGTTTGGTTGTTCACTAGGTAGATGTTCATTGGGTGATATTGTCTACCAATATAACAAGTCATAACAGTATATTAATACAATCAGGATCAGCTACATTATATTTGTATTTTTTGCTTCCAAATAACACTTCACAGCTTAATATTTCTTAAACATTACCTTAGATCTAACTACTCCTTTTAATTAGGCTCTTACAGTTTTAATAGGCCTAATTAGTGATTTTCTATTATTGCAGCAGTCTATCGGAAGTTCATAAATTTAGATGACCGAAAGAAAATATACATAAATATCTTGAGAGAGAGTTGTTTGTGGCAGAGGACAAGGTAGCCAGAGCAAGATTTGTAGTTCTGTTTTACCATTTTGTTTTTTCTTGACAACAAAAGGTCAAACTGGCATGTTTGTTTTCTAACACTGTATTTAATACATTTTTTATGTTTTCATCGTTGTACCAACAGATAAACTTTGTCAAAGCACAACAAGATGACATTATTGCAAAACTTGATGAAGAGTATCTGGACCTGGAGAGAGAGATTGTAGGCCTTGGCCTGGAGGTTTGTTATTTTATGCAGAGAAATTTCCATTGTCGATAATAGCATATTCTTCACCTTAATAAGTGAGTGCTACAGTGTGTCGCAAGAGGAAATTAACATTTCATTATGCAGGGAATGCCAAAGTTTGCTCCATCTGAATATTTTGTTTATTTATTTTGAACTAAGTTAGACGTTTATTGGGTCATCGTTCTATTCTTCAGTAACCTCTTTACAGTTCTGCTTATATAACTGACTACTGAGATATGCATCCAACATGTTGATATTTAGAACACAAAGCTGAATATTTTCACCAGTATGCTTAACAGTTAGCAAGATGTTTGTTTTAGGAAATGCTTCTCCCTGTTTTCTCCAAACACCCGTCCACAGCGTTAATTTTTGAACCCCTGCTTGAGGGGTTGTGTTTGCTTGTATTAATTTCAAATGTCAGTCAAAATATATGATTATCCCAAACCTTTATGTAAAACTGTATATATCAAGCACATAAAAAGTCTATAGGCAACCTCAAGGATTGCCATATTGTCCTTCACAGAAATATCTCACTAGTACTTCAGATAATTTGGTGAACATTCCAGAAGAGGTTTTGAATTCAGACTGCCCTTATCCAGAGCTGAAGGACTCACTGATCGAAGCCTTTCACTCCCTATCAGAGAGATACCAGAGCAGGCTGCAGAGCCTCCAAGAACAACTGCAAAGGACAGACAGGTATGTCTGAAGATGTCTGAAGATTTAAGCTTTGCTTTTTTTCCCTTATTTGCATAATTCAACGTCTTTACGCATTGCTGGATGAAATATATCGCTGGTTTTTACCGCTAACGTGAAATAGGTGGCTGAAATAGGCTTTTAATGATCTTCAGCCTTTCATTTAGATAATTACATGCGGGAGCAGAGCTCTGCTGTAACTGGACAGATCAAGATGAAAGATTAAGAACTCAACAGGATATTAAAATCATATAGATGCATAGTCACTTCACTCTGCAGAAACAACCTTTTAAATACGTATTTCTCACCAGGAGAGTGATTATATCAATATCTCCAAGCTACTTCAGAGCTCGATTTTTATTTACATACAGCTGCTTTTATATTATTGTTACACAGTACTGCTTTTTATCTGCATGTACTATATGAAAATGCAATGCAGTCAAATGAAGGTAGAGAAAGACAATTTTGTAGTGTTGCTTATCTGTTGCAGTGCTTTCCTTTCTGATCATGTACTGTTTGTGTTGAAATTGTTTCAGGTTCTGTGGCTGGTGTGAGCACGATCATGAACACTTTACGTTCACAGTGTCTAGGTATACTCATGACATACCCAACCACAGAGCCCTCTGCATGGATATGCTGTTGAGATTCTTTCCTGGGAAAAGTAGACAAGAGCTGGTAAGTACTTTAGGGGAAAAATCTGAATTAATTGTTAAATTTATTTATAAATGGACAAACAGAAAAGCCAGCTATTGTTCTAATCAGGAAATAGGTAAAAATCTCTAAATGTACAAAATTTGATGGTTGATATTTTCATATGTAAAGACATTTTGCATTAATTTTCTACAAGTTATGAGAGTAAATTGAGTATATTTTTGGTTTTTACACTATTCTATGACATTTTATTGACTAGAATAGTAGTGGCATAACATTAATAGCAGCAGAAGTCAAAAATAAAATAAAATAAATAAATAGTTGTAGTATAATGTAATTAATCTGGTGAAGCAATGATCACCTTTGAAAAGAAGTCTTGTTCCTCCTCATACAGTTAGAGTCACTCCTTGAAGCCAACCTGTGCAACCACAGTCTGGTGTGCTGACCACAGAACAACTGAGCATCACGTGCCTTGCTCAAGCCTAAAATGTATCTTTGGGTAAATTGGTCCCCAGGTTTGAATGATTGGTCACTTTCCACCAAGCATCATTTTATTATTATTTCTTTTTTCTTTATTACACACAAAACACACACATACATGCTCTCTTACATGCATTTACCATAAATTAAGGCATTAACTTTCCCACACACCCATCTAAAAATGTACTTTACTCCCCTGTGAGAAGCAGCCCCACAGTGTGAGTCCCAAGCTCCCTGATCAATGTAGCTTAGTACCCTGAACCCAGCAGTGAGACACATAGATAAGCCTGGACAATGATCTGCTCAGCACGCTGCAGGATATGCCATGTCACCCACTGTGGACAATTTGCTCACGCCACCGCCTAGCATCACCATGACAACCGCCAGACCCTCTCTCCGTCCTCACCATCACCCAGAGACCTGTCCTCATATCAGTTCCAGCTGGGTGCTGCATTTAGAGCTGTGATCGTTCAGCCTTAGGGGAGTCTTGCAAGGAGGAGAGATGTCTTTCTCCATGCCCCTCACCCAGAAACATTCCCAGAGTTGGACTAATTCAGCTATTAGTCATAATTAGACTGGCTTGCGTGCATAGGATAATCAGTGAGAACTATAGATTGATTTGCTGAAACCTCTCTGATTACACTCACAAATGCTATTCTGCTATCAGCATGTGGAAAAAAGAAATCTTGATTTTATTCAGAGTTTTTGGCTTTTTCTCTATCTGATATCTAAATGAAATCAACCGAACAAGTATGTCTTTGATTATATCCAGCAAACTAGTAAAATGGTCCCCCTAGCTGAACTCAGCTCTGCCTGTGTGCATTTCCAGTGAAAACATGAATTGTGACTGGCATGTGTGTGATTTGTGATATTTTGCGTTTATTTGTACACGAAATCCCATTAGCACTCCAGACAAATTGGTGACTTGGAAATTCTATAGTTAGCGTTTTAATCACAATTTAATTATATTTCTATGGAGTCAGCATCTTAGCCCTAATGTTTCTTATGTTGTTTTTCACTTTAGAGCATTGAAGCCTGTTCTTGTTTGAGCTATGGTATTCTGCTCACCTGCCGTTAAATTTGATCTCTGTGCAGTCATTTTAGGATGATAGCGTCATTTTCTGTTGCTTTTGTCAGTCATATTTTAGCTGAATAGAAGGTGTGAGACAAATGGTTTGTGGTATGTAACAATTGAAGAGCCTTGGTGATAAAAGCAGCCTAAATGTTTGCAATTTCTTGCAGTTCTTCTTTTTCTTCCTCTGATCCTGTAGAAAAATATCCAAAGGAAAATAGGGGAAGTGTAGAAGGTTTATTACTTTTCTCTTTTAACCTCGAGATATTTTAAATATATCATATCTTGCAGTAGTTTATCCATAGCCTTCAGTTGATATCCAAGTGGCTATCCCTATCTCAGAAAAGTGTCACTTTAATCTGTATATAGTAATTTCTTGTATTTTTGGGTGACCTAAAGTAAAACCAGCATGTCACTTTCACAATCAGGTGGTTGTACTCCAGCCAGCTATAAGTGGACATCTCCCTCTGCTGGATGGGGCAATTAAATGTCTATTATCTTTGTACCAGCAGAGAATCAGCAGGATTTCATAATATTAATATAATAGTAATAATAATATTCCATGCTAATAGTAAAAATTATTCATACCTCTTTGTACTTCTGAGTTTATATGGCCATTATTTATTTCACATTCTCCTCCAGGAAACCTTACTCTGCAGAGGAAATGTAAATGCAGCAGCCGAACTAGGTGGTGTTAAACTCTAAGTGTATACTGCAGGCACAGTGCTGTGGATACATCCACACAAACTGTGAGTGCAATGGCTGAAGTGCACCCAAGCCTGTGCACAAGCATGCAAACATATATGCACATATCTCAAAGGCTCATGCTTAGTCTTTACTTCAAACCACAGTAAAGGCAGGGGCAAAAAGAGAAAGGGAAGAACAAAGCAGGTGGGGGGGCTTTTCCTCAAGTTCTAAAGTTGTGTATTAATAAACAGGATTTGCTTGACTGCCTCTGGCGCTTCTGTTCCGTTGGCAGGTCTGTCAGCTCACTCATTTTCAATAAAACCATTCAGCCGTCTAATGCCTTCCCACCGTCAGTTAGCCACTATTAGCCCATAGATGAATATCATTCCCTCGGTTCCAATGAAGCAGCCAAGTGGTGCAGCCTCTGTGAGCGCTGACACAATGATGAATAGCTACAGGCAGCCCTCACACAGAAAGGAACTGTTTTCCTGTAGGACATTTCACAGCCAGGAGAGAGAGAGACCATTTTATACACCAGCAGAGTTAGATCTGACACAGACTTGTCCCTATGGTCCTGCTGCCATTATTGTAGAATGTAGTAACAAAGGGAAGTTTTTGGTTTGCCATTAGCATATTGTTAATTTGGTGCAACACGATGCATAATATATCAGAGTTGCTGTTTGGGCTGTGGTGCTTTAGTTTTGAAGCACTATGATCACAGTGTCATCTTCCAGGTTTTTTTTCTGACTCTGTTTATAATTGTGCCTGATACATCTGTACAGTTAAACATACAAACAGTACACAGTCCATTCTCATTCTTCTTCCAGCTGGAGCATGAATATGTGTGGGACTTGCAGCGCTTCACCCAGGCGCAGCTAAGAGCAGTGCCCCAGCAGTGGCAGCGAGACCATGAAGAACTCCTGGCCCGAGCCCAGGTCACACTGCAGGAGGCAAAACATGCCCACCAGGAGGAGCTGGAGCTACACAGAGACCGCCAGAACCAGCAGGACATTTGCTTGCATCTCAGAGAAAAAGTTAGTGCCTCTTTTATACCTTTGAGTCTTCAGTTGTTGCATTTTTGAGATACACTGAAATCTACTTATGGTGCCAGAATATACGTTTTCCTCATATATATTCAGTATATGCTATATAGTTAACATAACATCTTTTTTCCTATATTCCTTTCAAGCTATCTCATGTGCAGCTGTGATAGTGTTAAGTTTGAGGGAGCAGATTGCCTGCTTGTGTACAGTATATCTGCTGATGAGGCTGTGTATTACGCCAGGCTGCCTGACAGCATCTCTTGCTTTAGCTGCCACTTGGGATGGGCTCTGAATGCAAACAAGCTAATAAGAATGGTCTTGCAAACATGATGTTGCTGTCTCCGAGGGGTGCTAGTTCACATTCGCACAACAAACAAGTTACTCATGTGAACAAATCCATGTGGTGTTGATATAGCACCAAGTTGCTTATGTCCTGTGGCTGTTTGGATAAGACACTGATGTATGAGGTAGGGCTGGTGGGAGCCGACAACACCGAATCTCATTTTGTCAAAAAAACACCACAGAGGTTGTTTTTCTGCTGTTGGTTTGCAGATGCAAAGTTCTAGGATTGTTTTCTGTACAGATCTGTGAATTCTTCCCTCTTGGCATGAATTAATTCTTTCTGTTTTCAGTGTTTTTAACTCTATATTACCACAATTTTGGTATCTTGTTTCGAAAGTTGTTACGAGACTGATCCTGATCCTAACAACCACAATATATAGTTAATAACTAGAGCCCAGCCAATATATATTGGCGAGGGTGGTGTATTGCCCGATAATTGGTATTTGCCTTTATATCGGTATTGGCATTTAAAACTGATAAATGAAAATTAAAAAAGTAAAAGAAGAGATGGAAGAAACTCTCTGTTCTATGAATGTGGATGTTGCATAATTTGTCCACCAGAGGGCACTCTGCAACTTTCAAGATTATTTTTAAACAACATTTTCATATCATCCTAGTTAGGACTCATAAATCGCTACAGTTACCAAATATTATAGGGGAAAAACAATATAAGAAAATATCGGCCAAAATATCAGGTTTGTAAATCACCAAAGATTGTATCGGTCTTAAAAAAAAGTCTATATTCTTGTAGCGCTGTGAATAACGATCTCCACTCCTTTCCTTCTGCTACCTGCCAGTAGATTATTTTTCACATTTGTGTCACACTGAAGAGTTGAAATGTTTTCTATACAAAAGTTTGAAAGATAGTACATTCTCAAAAACAAACAAAAAAAACTCCCAATTTTTTTAATTTTACTTTCTAAATAGTAGTGCAACTTTATATATGACCATAAACTTGATATGTCTTAAAGGGCATTATCCTAAACTTAAAGCAAAAGTTGGGGAATTGAAGACTGACTGTCAATAGGTTATTATTTTTTTCTTATGGAGTGTAATTTAAGTGGTGGATGTGCACATATTTGAGTTTGCGTGGAGGCTCAGATGGTTTCTTGTTTTCATTCAGTCTTTCTTTCCACTGCCTTTATCATCACTGCGCAGTGACACTGCAGCGAGGCAAGATGGATTCTCCTTCCGATGCGTCTGCCTCTTTAATGCTTTGGTTTCTGCAGCTGCTCCCTCTGATCCAAACAACTCCCCTGACTCTACTGTGAGTCATCCCTGTTGTATTTAGTGTACTGTGTAGGAAAATATGGTAGCAGAAACTTGCATATTGGAGCTGGCAGTATAATATAAATAAATGAATGAATCAAAATGTATATTTTATGGAGGGCTAACGGTCAACATGATCTATAATTCAAGAGCAGTCCATCCTGTTTTTGTTTTTTTTGGTTTTTTTTAACAATACAATTGTTTTTTTTCCATATAGGGGTAATCTGATGGAAAAGGATGAAAAGCACAGTTTCAAAAAAGACAACAGACCCTTTGGAAACAGCTTACTGTGAAAAAGAATTATAAAAGAAAGATTATAGTGATGGTACTTTTTGGTTAAGGCGGTAGAGTAAGTGCCTACTTGTTACGTTTTCTTCCTTGGGTTTCCGCATCTCGTCTTCTCAGTGGGTTCAGATGAGAGCATACACAGGACAGTTTTTGGTCAGTGGCAGTCTGATTCTGACCTCATTATAGTGAGTGAGGTTGTGTGCTGCCATCCCACTCAGACACTCTTCAGGGAATGGTGCAGTGGGAAGAAATCAAGGGTAATTGATTTTAGAGTTTGCTTGAACTCCTCTGTTCTAGAAGGGGCAAGGATGCCACAGAAGACAATCTAAACTCATATGTATGCACTCAGATGAGATTACTGATCATATAGCAGTTTCAGAAAGTGCTCCAGACGTGAAATTGTAGAAGCTGTGGTTGTTTTAAAATAAAAAGATATTTAAGATAACTAGTCAACATTACATGCATGAGACCCAGCTCAAAATCGTTCCATTTTATCACTGAAAGACAGACTCTTCTTTTCAAATCATCATCCGTCTGTTCTGGCTCTTGTAATTAGCTCGTATTGTTCTCTGTGTTACTGTTAATTCCGGCCTTTTATTGTGTCCTTGCTTTCATTTTACCTCCCACTTATATCTCGCTCCCAGGCATATTTGATGAGTGATTGTGTTTTTTTTCCACATGAGTAAATAAAGCCTGGAGGGATGACAGATTGTTGCAACATGCTCAGGTGGGAAAGGGATGAGCAGGCCAAAGGACAAGCGGCACTACAAACAAAAAAGAAAGATTTCACAAAACCGGAGGTTTTCTTTTATAGCCAGCACTCTTTTTTTTTTTCTCTCCGCCCTCCCACCTTATCTCCAGAGTACTTTACCAAACAAACATCACTGTTATAGATTAACTTATGGCCACATTATTTATGTGGTCTTCCTACAGTAATCAGGATATTCTCTAGGCTCTGTGTGAGGAGATCGCCTGTCATCGAGTCAGTCATTTAGTGGCTGCCGAGTCTCTCTGGTGGCCAGATGAAAACAACTGTGGAGTTGAGACAGTGTGTGGGCTCCACAGTGGCTCAGCTGACAACTCTCTGAGGAGTTAATTACGCATATGTCTATAATTTTTCCTTTGCACAGTGATGTACCTGTTATGGAACTCAGGAAAATGTTCATTGTCTTGGGTGTAAAAATACAACAATAATTGCATAGTTTCATTTTTGTCATCTTGTAATGGACTTCAGCTCTTGTCCCTTAAAAGATTCTGTAAATTTCATGTATCATTAACGTCACTCAGCAGAGTGTTCCCGCATAATAAGGAGTAATGCTATTCTCGCTTCTGTTTGTTGCAGTAATTTACAGCGCTGATGATTTTATGGTTTTTGATTTTTTTTTAAGCCTAATCTGCTTCCATCAGCTGTTATATATATTAAATAACTTGCAATAGAAAGTTATGATGGCTGCTGCAATGCCGGCTGACAAAAGACATTTAACTGTACAGTGATATTAACAAAAGCTTTGAGCCAGCTGCAGTGCTCCGATAAAAAGACTATCATTCTTTTGTTATTCTGACATCTCTGCAGTCTTTTTTGTGCTACCATGAAAAAGGATGGTTTCCCATTTCCATTTGAATTCACAGAAAATGAGATTCCAGTGACAAATTACTGTAGACTGTACATAATGACCATTTTATTTTCTTTGTGCTACCTAAAATGCTTCTTCATTCCTGCCTAAACAAGAAGTCTTACAAAACACATTCAGACACTGGGAATCTTGGACTTTTTAAAGAAACATTTCATTGTTGTGTGACCTGAGTGTATCAAAATATATGTACTCTCTACACACCTGCCTATATGATTTTCTATACATTTTGCAGGTATCTTATTTTGACTGATTGAACTTGATGGATAGTTTAATTATGTGTACTTGTTTTGCTGAGAAAATATGCCCACTAAAGTTATATTGGGTAACTTGTCAGAATATGCCAAAATTTCATTTTTAAATGATTTATTTATTTATTTTTTTGCATGGGTTTAAGCGTTTGATTGTGTGAACACCAGAAGTTATTCAAATCATTACTGTGACCGTTCATAACCACAGGATTGTACTAAACAAAGCAATAATGGAAACTGTTTAAATAGCAAGTGCGCACATAGCTATGAGGCAAGAATGAAGATGAGGAAGAGGAAAGTACATGCCAGGATAGTAGAGACCCTGGTACTAATTTAAAAAAAAGAAAAGTTAACTTTAAAAAAGTGTCCAGAAGCAAAAATAAATAAATATTTTCTTACTTCTCCAGGTTCAGTAATACTGAGAACTCAAAACATCTGCAGGAAATAATTTTAATTGTATTTGCGAGAGTTTTCTAAAGAATAACCATATTGTATTTCCATCTTTAGCACTGCTAAATAGAAGTGGATTAGAGGCTGGAGTGTTTAAAATTTTCTCTCAATCTCACAGCTGCTGCTTTCTCTCAGGCAGACATCATGTATGATTAACTTGATGATACTGCTGGTGATAATGTGTGTGTGACCATGTTAATTTGCAGCTCATCCCTTTGGAGATTCCTAAGCTCTCCTCTGATAGATCTGTAAATCTGTCTGCCTGGTCAGTATTCAACACTTCAATACCCGGCATGCCACAGAGAGGCTGCTGCATAACGAACCTGTCACTCATTCCCCAGCAAATGTTTGTGGCTATGTGTGTGTTTGAAAAGTTAAGACAGTCTCTTTCCAAATATCTAGCTGGGTGACTGAGGATTGCTATTGATTTTCTTTTTTTTTCTCAGCTAAAACTTGAAAAATCTCGACATTTTTAACTTGAGGAGCTTCTGTGTAAATATAATTAATCTAAATTGCAGAATGAGGATGCCATTCTCCTCACTAGGATACGTTTTGTTTTAGTGTAGGCCTCAAACGCAAGGGTTTTCTTTATGATTCATTGTTTAGAGGAGCCTGAGGGGGATCTAGAAAAGTGTGAAAAGCAATTTTGGCACCTCCTCTGGAGTTCGTGCCACAATTTGGCAGCTGGTTGTCTCCGTGTGAGTAATTCTTTCCAAACAGTTGCTAATAGACAAGAATCTGCCTTTTTCTTTTCTCCTTCATCCCTTATGTGTGTCTGCATGTGTATTTGTAGTTGCAGCAGTGGCGAGCCCAGCAGGAGGAGGTAGCAAAGCTTGAGGCAGCAATAGCAGCCAGACAACAAGAGGAAGAAGAGGCGAGGTTAAAGAGGGAGCGAGAGAAGGACGCCGCCATCAGGTTGCAGCAGAAAGAAACAGTAAACACTTCTCCACCCTTATAACAAATGTCGTTATAGGTTTGTTAAATCCTGGGACATTTGCTTATTAATGTCTATACTTTTGCATGTTTCACCTTAGCTTATATTATATATTTTATTAAAGCAAGCATTTTTCTAGATGATAAATGCTACTTTTTGGTTGGTTAGTGTTTTGTGCGAGTAATTCCTTAAAGCCAAAAGCTCAAAGCTTTAGATATTTTTGTTCTACTGTTGAACTGTATCATAACAATAAGAGCAGAGATCCTTAATATGGTCATCTCAGGCACACAACTCTGCTGTTTGTGAAGGGCAGCCAATCAGGAGAAGTTTGCTACTATGGCCAGCTTTCAGGAAAGAGGAGCTAAAAGTAGCTTTTTTAAGACAGTACACAGGATGAACTGAGCATCAGACACAAGACCATATGTGTGTTAAAGAGGAACTTCTTTGAACTGTGACTCATGCAACACAGCCCCAGCAAAGGCCAAGAATAAAAATGTGGAAGTGAAAGGCCCACTTTAATTGTTCTTGTGGGATAAAATGAGTATGAATTCTTATGCTTCACTATGGTGCGTTCCATCCACTAACATGCACACATCCAATCAAAAACAAGGGACAACTATGTAGCAGACAATGGGGATTAGTTTAGGTTTAGATGAGACTTTACAGTATTGATTTCATGCTTTCATGCTGTTTGATGCTTTCAGTACAGTATTGAAAGCATCAAATCATTTTGTATGTGCGCTCGTTCTAAAACCTTTTCATGTGTATGAACAGATGAGTGTATGAATGACTTCTCAAGGAATGAAATATCACTGAATGCCTACAAAACAACTGCTGAAAGTAATTGTCTCTTTCTTTTAGAAGTACTAGAAATGCCATAGAGTTTCTTTGGGTAAATAAAAATGCATTATATTTAAGGACTTTAGGAATGAATAAAATAAAAGAATAATTCCGCCATGGCAGGGTTTTTGGGTTTTTTTTTAAAAATTCACTGCGTTCAAATTTCTTGCCATTTATGGCTCCAGAATCTGAATGATTTAATTGTGGGCATGCATGGATATCAAATTGAAAGCACATTGTGGATATAATTACATGGGTATTTTGATTATTCACTTTAGTTATTGAACCCACAGGTACGACAGACCAGTGTGTATGTGTGTGTGTGTATGTCTGACTGTTTAATTAAATTTCTCCTCAGGGGTCTGCTAGGCGAGTATAGGCAACCTGAGACATTCTGATTAATGAGAACATTTAGGCCTCATTGGATTCCATATAATTTAGCACAATAGTCTGGCAGACGTTGAAATATCATCTCATTCTCTCTATTTACACTTATCTGATTCCCGCTCTGTCTCAATCAATAGGACATGATGATCCTAAGAGTTTCCGTGGGAGTCAACTTAGTGGAAGTGTAGCCACTGTTCTTGTTCAGTTTTAGTCTTTGTTGATTTTTTTTCCCCCAGGTCAGACAGTTTTATTTAAAGCAGCAGAAGAGGAGAGAAGTGCTGGAGCAGAGGGATCAAGAGAGGCTTGCTAATCTAAGAAGCGTCATGGAAGAACAGGCAAAGCGAGATAAGGAGAGGTGAGTGTTGCACCATGGGACCTTGAGTTTTCAGCGCTGCCAAGTGCATCAAGGTTGTTAAAGGCAGCTCAGAACCCTTAGAATTTCTGAATTACTCAAAACAGCCATGACATGTTTTTAGTCAGCCACTTTATGCGTGCAATTTGGGTGATCACTCACAGGAATTCACAGTGTTGTCCAAAATTTACAAGTGACCTATGCCTATTTCAAAAATACATTCGAGTAAAAAGTGGAATCTAGCATGCTGCATTTTATTATTATGTGAAGCACTTTGAACAAATACAGTTACTAAATTATTTTTACATAATTTCCATTGTAAGCAGTGAGTGACAGAGTTCACTCAAGAGTATCAACAGGAAATTATTACCATTTCACCTTCATTTGTATCATGTATCATTAGTCAGTCTTTTCATTGACTAATTAAATAATACACTTTGGAACTTTCATGGACACAAAACTTAAGAATACAGTGTCTATATTTTTTCTTCTTTACATAGTCTTATTCTATGTAAAGAAGAAATTATATGTATATAATATTTATACATACACTCTGTGGTCACTTTGTATTAGGTACACTTTTTTCTGTACATGGGTTGAACCGCTTTTTTTACCTTCAGAACTTTGTTAATTCTTTATGGCATAGATTTAACAAAATGCTGGACGCATTCTTAGAGATTTTGGTCCATATCAATAAGTTAGCGTCACACAGTTGCTGCAGACTAGTTGGCTGCACATCTATAATGTGAATCCTTTGTTCCACCACATCCTAAGTGTCTTCTATTGGATTGATATCTGTTGATTATGTCGGCCAATTGAGTACAGTGAACTCCATTTTGGTGAGCCAGTCCAAATTATAGCCTCAGGTTCATGTTCTTAGTAAAAGGAGAGGCACTCAGTGTGCTCTTCTGTTGCTGTAGTTCATCTGCTTCCTCTTTCAATGTGTGTTTGCATTCAGAGATGCTCTTCTGCATACCTTTATGCCAGGGAGTGGTTATTTGGGTTGATGATGCATTACTATGAGCTCAAAAGCAGCTTTGCCATTCTCCTCTCACCTCTGGCATTAACAAGGCATTTTCGCCCAGAGAACTGGCACTTACTGCATATTTTCTCATTTTCAGACCATTCTCTGTAAATTCTATAGTTGTGTGGACAAATCCAAGCCCATCAGCAGTTTCTCAAATACTCAGACATCCCATCTGGCACCAAGAGCAATGCCATGTTCAAAGTCACTTAAATCAGTGGTCTTTCCCATTCTGATGATTCCTTTAAACCTCAGCAGGTCATCTTCACCATGTCTGCATACCTAAATGTAAATGTAATGTAGACATGTAGCTGTAACTCATGTGAGTAGCTGATTAGATGTTTGTGTTAATCAGCTGTTGAACAGGTATATATAATGTATTAGTGTATATCAATCATAAAATAGTTACTGAATACACAGGAATATGTACTGCTAAATGAAAAACATAGTATTAATCAGAAATCACTGCTGATTGTAGTTTCTTAAATAAAAAGAATGCTCTGATAATAATAATGGATTGGATTTATATAGCACTTTTCAAGGCACCCAAAGCGCTTTACAATGCCACTATTCATTCACTCTCACACACTGGTGGAGATAAGCTACGGTTGTAGCCACAGCTGCCCTGGGGCAGACTGACAGAAGCGAGGCTGCCATATCGCGCCATCGGCCCCTCTGGCCAACACCAGTAGGGTAAAGTGTCTTGCCCAAGGACACAACGACCAGGACAGAGAGCTCGAGGATCGAACCGGCGACCTTCCGGTTACAGATACGCGTCCCAACCCCCTGAGCCACAATGTAGCATTACAAGTACTTTCTCTGAATATTTGAAACTTTCTAACACCTCCATGCTCGACCCTTGCTGAGTCACTGGAGATGTCGCACCTCATCAGTGATGCGGGGTCAGTCAGACGTGAGCACACTGGAAACTTTCAACAGGAAAAATAATGTCTCAGACTAATGTTAACTTGCTGCTGAAAAATAAAACGTGCCTTTAAAAACATTCTCTTGCGTGGTGTGGTTTCCATTTAATTTCTCTGCAGACACACACTCACATTGAATCCGTATAATGTTGTTGACTTTGGCTGTGAGAATGAATTCAGATGCGAAAGGGATTCATTGAGGAGCTGAGACAGAGATAAAAGCAGGTGATGGGAGAGGAGCTGCACTCTGGCAGCACCGTAGAGCCCTCCACAGCCTGGAGGTCTGCTGTGTCAGGAGCAATATGTAATGTTGATTGTGGCAGTGGCAGAGGAAGAAAGGGATTGTTTAGGTCTGATGTCCACACCTTTTCTGCTTCCTCTAGGGTGCAGTTTCGGGCAGATATGCTACAACAGCGACGGCTGGATAGAGAGGCGCGGGAGCGTGAGCGGCAGAGAGAAGAAGAAGAGAGACAGAATCGTCTGGAAGCTCTTAGAAACCAGGTGGAGCATTATCTGGTCTTTCAACCACTTGGATTAGTTCTGTCAGTGGAAATAACTCACAGGGGAAAAGAACTTGACTCATCCTTATCTGAGTAAAGGCATCACTGCCACCTTATGGCAGTAAGTAAAAAGACAATTGTATATTATTAGTAAATCCAGTGTATATTTTTCTTATTTCTCTAAGGTTGGGGTGGTGGCAGAGGCAGACCCAGAGAGGATGATGGCAGACACAGAGGCTTGGAAGTGTCGACACTTGAATGTAAACGAGTTTGAGCTCCAAAAGCCTCTCTACAGTATAAACACGTACACAGACACACAGGTGAGACATGATAGGATCTGCCCTCCTAACCACTTTCTTTGCAAAGTCTTTAAGGCTGCATGATCATTTGCCCCTGTCCTCTTATCTCTGCTCTGTATGTATTGAGCCTACATGACGTCTCGCTCCCTCCCTCACGTTTCCTTCGTTACATTAAGTCACTTAAGTTTCAGTTCCTTTTGGGTGACACTGACCAGTGACCCATGCACTGGTGGAAAATTATGTAAGCTGGGTGGCTGGCCAAAAAGTGTTTGTCCTCAACAGTCTTAATTTCAAGGCCACCAAAGTCAGTCAGTGAACTGTAGAGTCTGTGTGTGGTTTTGTTTTAACAGGTTAGGATTTGGGTATTGTGTAATATAGGTATTGACTAATGATTGTCAGACTGTGATGCTTTTCTCTTCTGGCACCAAATGATGATGATGAATTAATGATCAAACCTTATGTCAAGTATTAAATGTGTAGTGAACCATTAAAAACAGCAAAGGTTGCATAAAGCAGCTGTGTTTATAAAAAAAAAAAATCTATCTTCCAGATTGTGTCTGATCCAAGAATGCGGGTTGAGCAGGCTCTGCGGGAGGCCGGTCTACACCAGAGTCAGTATGCCAGAGAGGTTCTGTCTGTCATCGAGCCCCCCAAACCACCTCGGCGTGACACAAGGTCCATACTTAAATTCTGACCCAACTTTTGTTTAAGTCATCTTATGAAGTCCCACTCTTGTCCCAATATTAAACAACATATGGCTTATAATGAATTTGCTTCATGTGTAAGAATCTTTCATGGTTTTTAATCAAGAGTGCTTACAACAGCTGCAGTTCTTACAAAGTAGTTTCTTTAACTACAGTATCGTCCTCCAAATGACAATTACAATTACTAACTTGTAGATTTTATACATGAGAAATACATACAGTATCTGGCAGATGTGTTGAGCAAAGAAAAAGACAAATCAATTTTTAGTCACGGACTGCATTTTAGGGTGGGTTGTATTTGCATAAAAAAATCTTGTGTTGCAGAAGCTACTAACATCCTCAAATATTTGATAGCGCATTTACTAAAATATACTGCTGGAAGTTCTAATCTAAAAAAAATTGCTGAATAATTTTCTTCTAAAAAAGCATGTAAGAAGGTGTTTTTCACCACTGTCACTGGTATCTCTTTTTGTAGCAACAGATAGTTATTTCTCACTCTAAAATGACTTGAGGCTCCTCGAAGATCAGTTTTAGAACCACTTATTGCTTGAAAAGCCAAAAAAAAGACAATTCAAAGACTCCAAATCTACAAAAATGTCCAGACGTGATATTTTTATTTCAATTCATCGAAGTGTGTTTCTTGGTCTTAAACACAAGCCCTTAAAATTCAAAGTAATCTCCTTTGTTGCTGGACTGTAATTCCAGCTTTGGCAGAGATAAACATGGAGATCAAGATACAGAACATATCATTTTGAACATTTGTGTTATTTTACAAGGATATATTTCTAGATAAATATAGTAGATATAATACATACTTACACATATACTCTATAAGCATACATGCAACACGCTTAATATTTTATTGTCAAATAAATCATAAAAAAATCTTAATGTCTAACTTTTAAATATTTCAGTATTAACATTTTAAGTGCAATATATATACATATCCACATGAGTCAAAACTATGTACATGCTACAGGGCGACTGGATTGTTAGATAATATATCCCAGGCGTTTCTTGATAAAATGGGCCACCAGAATTTGAGGTCTCTGCTGATATTCCACCAGAACATCATGAGATGATGTGATTTGGTCCCCCTCAAAGCGATTCAGCAATGCAACACATACCACAGCTCCTGGAGAGTGAAATGAGAGTTTTTAGAATAGTGCAGTATGTCAAAATCACAAATAGAAGATGTACTTTGCAGCATTCAGAAGGTTTTGCCTTCATATAGTGTTTGCATTGTTAGAAAAATAATACCTTTGAGACCACAGACACGGCACATAGCAGCAAAAACAGTGGACTCCATTTCAATATTCCTCACTCCGGCCTCATAAGCTTTCCTCAGATACTCCAGTTTCTCTTCTTGGGAGAAGGAGCACAGAGCTCCATCCAGTCGGCCCTGACCTACAGAAACGGAAAACAGGATTTGTCAGGGGATGACAACTAGGAATTACAAATAAATGGAATTCTGTTCATACTGTACCTTCATAGAAGTCATGGGTGCACATGGTGTTTCCGATCACTGTTGGAAAAGTTTGAAGCTCAGAAGAGCATTGCAGAAGCTCGTTGGCCACTCCCTCATCCAGCTCAGTGTTCCTGGTGATAACTTTACCCAGAACGACCTGTTCAAACTGGGGGCGGAAAGAGTAGTCCACTGCTTTTTCTGTGATCACCACGGTCCCTGGAGCCAGACCTGTAGATGACACAGGGCATAATTTTCTTACATACTTTAATAAGAGTATTGTATTAATGACTTGAACAACTTGTTTAACTGCATGTAAAACTTTCTCATATTAAAATCAAAAAGACTTACCGACTCCACCAGACGTTCCCAGGCGAAACAAAACCACATCACGGCACTGGGCATGGTGCAGGAGCTTGATGAGCTCATGCAACATGATGGAGATTGATGGGACTCCCATTCCATGCTGTATTATATACACAGTGCGTAGAAATTACATTTTCTAATCCGTAAAATACTTTTTCCTAACAACATTTAAAGAACAGTTCCACCCACAGCAAATAATGAAATACCTACACTTATAGAGAGAACTGGTCCCACTTTGTACATGCAGTAGCGATCAGTTCCCTCACAGATATCTTTGATGTCTCCTGGATTTCCTGGCAGTTTCAGCTCCTGATGGATGAACTGGGCGAAAGCCTTCATTCGGTTTGCACTGCCACCAACACACACAAACTGTGGGAAACAGAGAAAAACAGAGGATTGTTGAATTGTTTTAGAACTTTTAGAAAATAGTTTTATTTAAGCTGGACTTATTTTACAAACCTTAATATCTCCAAACATTTCAGGGAGGTTGTGAGTCTTAGTGCTCAGGCTGAAGTGGTAGAGAATGTCCTCTTCCATGGTGTCCAAATTGGGATTTTTTACTTGGACCTGTTCACTGAGTAGATTTTAATGCATTTTAGTTCATGAAGAGTGGTGAATCGACAATAAGTATATGTGCATGGATTAAATATATATTAAAACAGTGACATAAGTTTAAAGAAAAGCATCAAGAAATACTGTTTAAAAGACTTCGTTTAGGTTGCCAATACTTACTTTATATACTCATTCTCCTCATTCCCCATGTGGTTCAGAAGTATCGGTGTCATTACTGCAGCGTACACTTTCAAATGAAGTTTTAAAATGTCTCAAAACCTCCAAGTGTTTTCAGTTACTGCTTTCCAAATAAGAGTCATATCAGACTGTGCAGCAGATATAGTGGTGACCCCTGACCTTGCCACTCATTGGTTCCAGAGAGAGGGGAGTAGCTCAACCCTGCTGCTCCCACAAAAACATCCTCCAAGCCCCAAACAAACAGAGTACGATCAACCATAAAATTACCACAAAATAATAAAAATTACTGTCTGGTTCTAAAGTGTAAGTAAAGTTTTAAAAAGTCATACGAGCACCAGTCAAAATAAGCAATTGTTCATAAAGACAGTATTATTATAAAGGCTGTTAACTCTTACAAAAGCATGAGTGTGTGGGTGTGTAATGTGTCACCAATAGCCAATCTGAGGCTGGTGAATAACTGGCGTGTACTGACATAATTTAGCAAAAGAACACCGAGATAACCTCTGACACTAGCACTGTCATATGAAAACAGAAACGCACAGAGCCAACATAATGTACCACGAACAGGAATCATGTTTAGTGTGGAAAATTTAGCCTGTGACATATACATATATATAAATGTTTCATTTTGGATTGGTTTCATTTTATTTGAATTATCAAACTTTTCCCAGAAGCTGACATTTACAGCCTTGTAGACACAGAAAAAAAACTTAACACAGGAGTTAACTGATGCCTTCAAGTGCACCACTAAAAATCACAATAAATAAAACGTCCAGCTGTAATTCAGTGAGGCACTTTAATGCTTGAGTAAAAGATTTAACAATACAAATTTTTCTAAAACAAAGTAAAATGCTTGATGTGTCTCAGCATGAATCTTGTACGCCCTTTTCCCATCCAGGCACCCGGCAGTCTTCCAATCTATTGAAATTGAAATATATAAGAGTACAAGTCATTGTCACATAATTCACTATTATCTCTGTTATAGTGTAAAAAAGCCTTCTAAAGTCGTAATGACTGGAACCTTGAATTTTGTCACCTTCATCTTACATTCTGGTTATTAATAATAATACCCTCATAAAATCCATACACTGCTTAGCAGTTGGCCTTAATTTCCTTTCATAATGCAAAATGAGCATTCTGAAAGCAGAATAGGAAATTGGAATGTGTTATGCTTATTATAGGGTTAAGACTGTAACTCCATTGCTGCACTACTTACTTGACACGTCACTATACTGGTTTGCTGTCTTCTGCATAACCAAAGCTGAGCAGCTTTGACATGTCAACAGGGGCTGGTTTCTTGTCAATTACTCTGAAAGAAGATTAAAAATATAGTCCAAATATGATGGAAACAGAAATGTGAAAATTTGATCTTTTTAGTGTTTTTTCCCCTGTCTCTCTTGACCAACAAAGCTCGTTATTTCACTACACATACAGTGCTCACAGTTTAAACATTAAAAATGGACCGTACCCCTCCAACACTGAATAAACTCTGGCTACTTATTACAAAAATTGGCTTCCCAACTAGTATTTGTCAAACAACACAAATATAGCAAAGATCCAACTGTGCAAAAATGATCCAGCAAAAGACTGGCTGCGTCTCACATTCAACATTTATCTCTTATCTCATTCAGACAAAGCAACAAAGAGAAGCACAAGTATTTTTCTCCAATTGGTTAGTCAGTCTTCTTCTGTCTGGAAACTTCCAGATTGCAACTGACTCATCTTCCTCCAACACTGTAGCTGATCAGCAGTTAAAAGTTGTTGCGGTAGGTTTGCAAATTTCAGATAACTTTTTTATGGTAGACCTTTTGTGGAGTGCTTTCAACAGATATGATTGCGATCTCTGGTGCATTGCATGCTAGGTTATTTTGGGTTATTGACAAGTCACTGACATTTTCCCAGAGGTACAGAGAGCACACAGAACTAATCAGCTGTTAGCCAAAGCAAATAGATGAACATCTGGATTCATCTAGAAACCATCTCTCTGGGTGCTCTTTTGTTTGACCTAAGTTTTCAACCTGCCCAAGAGCATTTGTGCTTTGTCATCATAACACAGAGACATATGGGACAGAATGTAATTACAACAATGTCTTGAATGTACATATATTTTTTAATTAGCCATTTATCTTTGCATCCTATACTGTATTATCTTAATGCTAATTATTACAAAAATAGAATGCCAAATATAAATAATATTAGTAAATAAAACTCTAGACATGTTCGAATATATTTAAATAGATGGTCAAATCACTGTATGTAAATTAAGGTTTGTTTGATTTTAAATAACATTTAATAAAAGTCAATGTAATTAACTAATCTGTGATATACTATTTCTGTTGTTTCTTTAGTAAAAACAATGGGGGAAAATTCATAGTAAAAATAAAAAAAACCAAAACCATCCCACTCCTTTATCTGAAGTTCATACTAGACGGAACAACACTGTTTTCCTGTAACAAAATGATGTTTGTACTTGGATTAAACAGTGGAGGAGTGCCTCACCTCTGCAGGGTTGGGCAAGAATAACAGCAAAGGTTTTTTGGGTTTCATGGAAGTCTGCGTCACTTTAAAGTTTCATTACTGCATCCTTCTGGATTTAACATTGGACTGTTGTTCATAGTTTACACTGCTGTTCCACTCTAGTGCTTTTAAAACCCAAATATTGATTTTCACCCCTCTGCTTAGTTCCCTCACTCATGCTGATCTTTAACTCTGGCCTGCATCGGCAACCATAATATACTAATAGTATATCAGTATATTCTTTCTCCTTCATATTTCCTGCATAAAGTTGAGACATGCGCTACTGTAGTTTTTTGTTTTTTGTTTTAATTACAATGGACAGTTGGATGGTGTCCTCATAATAAAAAGCACATACATGTTGCCTCTTTATTGATCTTATTTCGTCTGCTTCCTCATTTCAGGGAACTCTTGTGTGTGCCAGTACGCACATGAATGTTTATACCTTAACTGACTAACCATGAGTAAGTAAGCAGTAGGTCATACACCAGATCTTAGAGACTCCTGGTTGTTCTGGTTTTAATGGCTGACAATATTGTTGACAGTGAGTCATTTAGGATGAATAATTTAATTTTGATCACTTTATCCACCCATTTCAGCAGGACCACACATAGTTGGGCACCATGGTGGCTCAGTGGTTAGCACTGTTGCCTTGTTGGGTTCAAACCAGGCCCCCACCCGCATCTTCCCTGGGTGTATGTTTTATGAGGGAGATCTAAGAGCTACAGTTTCACCCCATATTGAAAAATACGGTGGGTTGATGCTGCCTGTGTAGGCCCATGAAAATCTCCCAAAAGACATGATTGATTACTTTCTGCTAAATAAAAAAAGTATACACAGTTAAATGATCTGATGCTCTCCAACTGAGTTCAGTTTGATTACTGGCAAGCACAAATTGAAATAAACAAGTTTGAATGCAATCAGAAATAGTTGCACATACAGGACAGTGCAGGAAAGCTTTGTGAAGGCTAGACCTTTTATTCTATGTGGTTGTCTACTTAAAATAAAGACCAAAATGGACTGCAATTCATTATTATACATGTCCAATGTCATTTACAACAAAGGTGGATTAGTATTAGTGTATTAGTATGATCCCATTATACTTTATGTCAAAGAATCTAATAGAGTTGTAAAACTGCCCTATGAGACCCCCCTTACACTAAGCATAAAACAGAACTTCAGCACCATCTTGTGACCACACTCACTTACATCCTCCTGAATTTGCTGGCCTCATGATATTGACTGGATGTCTGCAACTTCTCTGTCTCACTTTGGTGGACAGAAATGTTGTCCTGTAAAAAAAGTAAAAACAAAATCAGAATACGTGGACGTTATTTGTTGACTAATTATTCCTAATTTGGTTGTTTTTAACAACTTAGCAATCAGCTTAAGTCATAGGAAGAAAGTACCTGAAGCACAAAATAACTGTCTGATACTGAGTATGTAACACTAAACGAACAGTCCTTAAACTAACAACACAAGAGGTGGGATAATTGTTTATGGATCATATGCCAATATTAGTTTTCTAAATGACGTTGGCATTACTGTACCTCCTCTTTCTCATTGTTGCTGCTGTTGTCTCTTTCCCAGGCTGACATGTTGTCGCTCCCAAAAGGAGGTTCTTGTGGTTCAAAAGCTCCGGGGATTTTCTTCTCTTCACTGTTAATTAGCCAGTTGGAAAAAACAAAACAATATAGGTATATAAAAGTATCAAATCCTTAATGACAGCTTAAATACAAGATCAAGCAAAAACAAAACACAAAAACAACCCCCCCCCCAAAAAAAAAAAAAAAAAAATAAAATATGGCTGTGGTTGTGGAAACAGGATAGTAGCATAAAAAAAGGTTTTGTTACATAAACAGTACTAGCAGTGGGAGAATCTTTACGGTATTACTGGCAAGTATTTATGTACGTATTAGAATAAAAACAAAGTGTACATACTACTATGAGTATGTGGTGAAAACAATAACACAAATTTGTAACCTTGGCTCGCTTAAGTCTCCTGATTCAAAGCCAAACCAATGTGGAGGTTTGTATGAACTGGGTTTAGAAATAACTGATTCCTCGTGGCACAGAAGTCCTGTTGAACAAGGATAAGAAAAAAAAACACGGGGAAAAAACTAATGTTTGTAGCAGTTATCATACGGCAAGAGGAAAACATGGAAATGTAAGGAAACAGGACGGCTTTACCCTTATGCCCTCCTTGTTTTGCAAGTTTTACATAATCAGAGTCACTCTCTAGGACTCCAACTCTTCGCCCTCGGATCCTCTCCTCAGGAAGAGTGTTGGTAGTTGGGGACAGTCCAGGGATCTGTGAGATGTGGCCATTGCTTGTATGGTATCCTGTTTTGACTCCTGTAGTTTTAGTATACAAGCACACATATGTATATATATATTCATTGCTTTATAAATTGCATTATCCCATGTGCCTATGTTACTTCACACAGCATCTCTTCACCAGTGTTATCCTCATAACCTGCACAACCTGCACACCCTGAACTAAGTATTCATAATTAGTTTTACTTGCCATATTTTGTTGGTTCCAGATCGTTACTCGTGAGGACGAAGGAATTTCTGGTGGAAACGGAAACAAAAAAGCCTGTCAACCTTTCCAGTTATACCTTGAGCGAGCCGCAAGCTGTTGTCATTAGCACCATCAAAGCAATAGTTAAATTAACCTTGGCGTTAGCTAGCTAATGCTATCTGTGGTAGCGTTGATTTTTACCCACGCCTGTAATTAAACACACATGAAAAGTAACATGACTAATTTGACTAAAGTTAAAGTTTCAAGACAGCGATTAAACTTCTGATTTAAAAGTAAAACGTCTTCGACTTACTCTGAATTCATTGTGAAAGCGGAGTAAGAAGCCGCTGTGAGTGGAGGCAGACTGTTTGGAAGTTGTGATCGCGTTTCCATGGAAATGGGCTTGAGCCCTCTGGAATACAGTTGCTGCTGTCCAGAGAAAAGTGCTGCGCGCAGAGTGAATACTCTCATAGGGTGCATGGAAAATAAACAACAGTCAGTTAGTTAGTTAGTTAGTTACACTCATCATGGGCATGAGTGTCAATGGTAATTTGGGGCTTTTAATGATTTCTTTGAACTGTGAGTTTTGCAAGGTGGAATGATTCTGCAGCGTGCATCTTCGACGACTGCAAAAACTCAGAATTTATTATTTAGCCCCCCCAATATTTGGTTGAAAAACACTTCCTAGAGTTTTGCCTCAAGGCACACCAATGACCCCCCACTAATTGGGGGCTACTGTCTTAGAGCACCGACTTCTTTCTGCCGCCTTTCTATGTGGATGGCATTTAGAGAGAGATTTGATGAGTTGAAAAGCTTTGTGTAAGGTGTATTTGAATAATGTTTTTAAAAATAATCCATTGACAACTTTTCAGTAATTTTCTATAAATAAATACTATCCAAGTATAAACTATCCTTTAGCCAAAGTTCTTCTTTTCAACCAGAACAAATAGGCTGTCTGCACTTTCTTCTTAAAATGTAATAAAGAATTAAAAGTAGATGCAAATCTGTAGGCGATGAGACATTATCTTTACTTTCTGTACATGAATACCTCTTAGGATAATTTTTTTAAAAAGTATTATTTCTTTTCTCTTCAGCAGCCATGCATGCTTTGAAATATACCAATAATTTATGTGGCCTCAGGTATGTTCAGAGCTTCTCTCAAGTGCTAAGGGCATGCGCACAGCAATCCAAATAGCAGAAGGAGCTTGCGTTAACATGTTAAGCTACCCAGAGAGAATATGTCAGTGACAGGAAATGCAGTCTATTCCTTCAGTAGAAAATCGCAATGTCGCAATGAGATCATTTGGTAATAAGAAAACGAATAATGCACAACAGCAAACAAGGCAAAAAACACTTGATGGGTGAACCCAGAGACATTTCACTAGATATGTAGTGCATCTGCGTTTTTAAAAACACTTCACATTAAAAAAAAAAACATAAAATACATTGACACAACACATGTTATTTTTCAGAAAATTGTTTTAATGTGTTTATTATGAGAAAAACAATGTTGTTTGTATTCAAAAATTACATGTTTCTTAATTATACCAAGTTATGACTAAAAAGCACTTTATGACAGGATAATGATAACATTATAGGCATAAATATAAGGCAAAAAAAATTGACACACAATTAGATTGGCATTTGACCCTTATGACAAAAACGCTATTATAAAAGTGTCAGATAGATAGATGATAGATAGATAGATAGATAGATAGATAGATAGATAGATAGATAGATAGATAGATAGATAGATAGATAGATAGATAGATAGATAGATAGATAGATAGATAGATAGATAGATAGATAGATGGATGGATGGATGGATAGATGGATGGATAGATAGGGAAACTACTGTATTACAGCAGCATGATAAAGATAATAAAAACAGTACAATCTACAATAAAAAGAAAACTGCCCAATGTAAAAGTACTGCTGGCCCACAGTGAAGGTGCTTTAATGGGATGTAATACAAACAATTTTTACATAAACAGCAATACTAAAAATAATGAAAATAAAAAGTAAGACCGAAATTGTGCAAAGGAGTAGTGCAAATGATATTAATGTTTGACACAGACATCTGTGTGGAATTCTATGTCCTGGTGTTCATCTGGAGAGAGTTGCTGTACTGTTTTATTGAGAATGATGGGAATGATTTCCTGCAGCGTTCTTTATGGCTGCAGGGTTAAATAAGAGGGAAAGGAGCTCTGCTGCTTCTGTAGTGTAGCATGGAGGAAATGAGATGGATTGTTTGTGATGGAGAGCAGTTTGTTCAGTGACCTCCTGTCCCTCACTGGCTCAAATGCCTCCAGATTCTTGCCAATGATGGTTCCAGCCTTGTGGATTAGTTTGTTCATCCTGCTGGCATCTCTGGCACTGATGCTGCCTGCCCAGCAGACAACAGCAAAATAGATGGCACTCGCTCCCACAGACTGGTAGGAGATCTCCAACATCTTTCTGCACACATTAAAGCATCTGAGCTTCCTCGGAAAGTAGAGTCTTCTCATCCCCTCCTTGTACACGGCATCACTGCTGGTCTTCCAGTCCAGAGCAACAGCACCTGGCTTAGTCTCTTTTTGTCTTGTTGACATTCAGAAGGAGGTGATTTCTGTCAGTCTACGCCACAAAGCTCCTCAGACTAAAATTAAACAGATGAGTTTTATTTTGAAATGGCCGACAGGAAACGTGTCTTTATCGTCTCACCTAGCGTTACTGCGTTCCAAGGTAACTTCCTCCTCCTCCAATCCTGGCTTTTTGCCTTCGAAAACGCCGCCGCCGGGGTGCGAGTTGTGAAGCCCAGACAGCGTAGCAAAAATGCGTCTTCGGTTTTACTCTCTCCTAAAAATGAGTACGGAGTGAGTTTGTCACTTTAACAATTATTATATTTGGCTTCTTTTTTTTCTCTGCCGAGTGAAAGACGGGCGTGAATGTTGGCGTCATGTAGCCTCTGCTTTTCAGACTTTGGAAAACAAATCGGGTATTGTCGGTGAATTCTCGGGAGATGGCAGAATAGTTCGACCCGCGCCGGTTACCTAGCCCTCACAGCACTTTGAAGAAAAAAATACCCCGCGAGGTAAGTTTTTATTATTATTATTATTTATCGTGACGTCTCTAAAATGTCATTTAATCCAGGCTATGCTGGAATATGCGCGCGGACGTTTCGGTAGACGTGGAAAAGTTTGCCGGAGACGGCTTCGTGACGCGCTCCCGTAAGAAACCCGTCTCCCTCTCTCAGCTGCTTTGTAAAATCGTGGCCTGTTTGGTTCTGCAGCCGAGCATATTTTTATCTAACGTGTCTTTCTTGTGACTTTGCAAAAACAAAATAGCCGCTTCTGATAAGCTCCCCGCACAGCTCGGTGTACCATCAGCTAAGAGACCTTGTCAGATGTGTCTCTTGTTAATGAAAGGATGAGCGCCAGGCTAAAATAACCACAATCTGGTTTTCAACTGCGACTGTGCTGGGTTCTGATTTCTCCTAAGCAGTCGAATCAAGCTCACGACATTGCAAGTAGCTGTGACTCGAAGAGTTTTTGTCATGCAGTCTTTAGGAGGGTCGTTCCAGCTCGATCGTGCCCCATCATCGCCCGCTGAGCACTTTTAACATCACAAACGCAGTCCTGCGGGGCGGGGGGCGCCACCAACACTCATGAACACACAGTATGACTAGGAGTGGTTCGGAATTTAATTTTGGGCAAGTTGGAAATATAAAAAAAGCTACTTAAACGTCACTGATAGAGCATCAATTGGATGTGGAATAGATTTAAACCAAACAGAAGATGATATGTGAGAACTACTTGGAGGGACAATCTAATGGAAACCTGGTAGACCCGCTGATGAGAGGGTGCCAACTTCATTAGAAAGGTGTTAATGCTGGCTGAAAACATTCAGAGATAATGGTGCTGATTGCAAGAAGTGTGAATGGGGAACGTCTCACACTTAAGTGCTCTTTCTCAGAATCAACTCATTGTTATAGATCCCACAAAATGACAATCCCACACACTGAGTTTAAATGCCAGGGAAGCCTTTCGAATGTGCACTTTCTGCTTTAGTCGCATCTTTTTAAGTTGGCTGCACTTGATGTGTCTGCGCATGACAATCTGATTGTCACACACACACACGAAGCCCGAAGTCTGGCATGGGAGACTATTTGGGCGAGATCCATACTAATCCATCCATCAATTTTCTTAACGGCTTATGCAACTTAGGGTCAGGGGGGTGACATGTTCATTTTTAAAAGGGTGGTTTAAATTGAAAGCCGTCTCCATTCAAAGCTTTTTTGTCACAGTTTCAGGAAAAATCTCCATCTAGCCCGGGCCCTTTAATTGCTGCTACTAGCTGAAGCACACAGACGACTTGTTCACAAATATAATTTTTCTTTTTTTTTTCCATATTAGCTGCGTAGAGATGTTCAAATCAGTGAAGGCTTGAAGTGGATAGCGCTTTAGGGTTTTGTGTCTTGGTTAGTGGCAGCGTTAAGTGGCACTTAGTGGCTGTGTGGTTGTGTGATCTGGAGAATGTAACCCCATAGCTGGCCAGTCACTGAGCTGTGGCCTCTTGGCCAGCGCCGGTCATCCTCGAGGCCTGGCCTCATGGAGTCTGGCTGATAGCGGTCAGATAAAGCGACGTCAGGCTGTCTGGGTGACTGTGTGTAGTTCAACTCTGGGGGTGGGGGTGTCTTGGGGAGCCTGTTCTGTTCATCTGAGGAAATAACTACCAGTCTGATTGTGGCTGTTGTTCCTACCATTTTGGGCCTTTCCTCCCTCTCACCAACTCTTGGTCTGGTTTCAAACAGACTAACGGTAGTAGCTGAATCGTCAGCCAGTTATGTTTATATTTATAGAGCATCTTTGGTGGCCAGCGTGTACATTTTTCAAAAGGTTTCTAAAAGTGCCACATAACTATGTTACTTTTCAGTGGCTTCATTTTTGGTATGCTCACCCCCCAAAACATACCATGCTAACGTGGCAACTGAATAATCTGAAAATGTGTCCTCTGATATTATTTGTTAACTGCTCGCACGCATGCCGAGTAAAGTAATAATCAAGTTGAGGATGACGCGTTATGAAATGAGAGATGCTGAAAGGCAATGCATAGTTTTTCAGAGAGGTAGACTACAGGCTGCAGTGAAATCAGAATTACTGCAAAAACTGCTGAAAAACAATTAGTAATCGAAGTATCACACCGAATACAGACAACCAGAAATTTGGCTTGTGATAGTGAGATGAGGTTATAACAGTTTTTGTTTTTTTAAATTTCCACATAGCAGCTCCCAGGTTCTTTATATATGAATATCTTGGCCCCTACACCAGTGTTTTCCTGTATCTGTTCCTCTTCTGACGACCATAAATCGCCTCATTTGCCCTGCAAGTCCGGGCTATTTCAGAAAATATGAAGCGAGGGGTTTGCTTTGAGGGGGGGCAGGCTTCCGATAGCAATCATTT